TAAAAATTATATTTTAAACAATAGATTCTTCTTATAAGTACTCTTCTAATTCAAATTTTTTTTTAAGATATTAAACGCATTTGTTTAATGTTTATTTAACGTTTACTTCATATAATATTATTAAGAGAATCTCTAATAATAAAAACTTGTTTGGTTTTTATGTTGAAAAAATTATTTTTAAATAAATATTTTATTTGAATCAATTTATATAACATATTATTTCTTTAAGTTAAAATGTGTTCCTTATTTAAGAAAGAGATTCTTAATATATATATATATATATATATATATATATATATATATATATATATATATATATATATATATTTTTCTAATGAATTATTCAAAGATTTTTAAAATTTATTTTATTGGAATAAAATTAGATATAGGTTATTTAGTAATGATGTGATATAATAAAATCATAAATTATAAATTTTTAAATGTTTTGGATATATAAAAATACAATAATGAGAGGAAAGATAATATTTAAAGGATTATTATTCTATAAAAAAACATTATGCTAAGAAAAGCATTTAATACATCATATCAAAGTTTTAAATTATTTAAAATTTAAATAACATTAGATTATTTGTTTTTTAATATAATAAATACTTCTTGTTTCATATTTAAAACTTGTAGGTTTGTCTATATTGTACTGATGAACAAATAATGAAAAGTTAAATTAGACTTTTTACTGAAAACTTCAATATATCGAAACACACAAAATTTTAATATATTTTTTTAAATAATTTAAAACATATAATAGAAATATTTTAAAACTTTAAAATACGTCTCTATAATCTCACAATGGAAAACACTTAGTAATTTGTTAACCTTAACAACAAGTAAGAAATTTACTCTAGGATCATTTAAAGACATTTTCTTAGCTATAAATAATGAATGATTGATGAAATAACTAAAAATAAAATACACATATTTAATGTAAATTTTTAAATTATTATGAAGTTAATTGGGGTTCACTAAATTATCGATAAGTACATATTGAGACACACATTATATATTCAACAAAATATATGTTATGAATATTTATTTAATTAGATAAATGTAAACAAGTAGGAATCTAGATATATCAAGAATTGACATAGAACGAGTAGAAAAAATAAATTATACAGACATATGAAGGTACGAATATATGTACTTAAAATAATTAATTAATTTACAGTGAAACATTTAATTTATTTATGATATATACAATTAATTTGATTTCTGAATATGAATTAAATATCCATCCATTCTATTAAAATAATTTATGGATTAATTGGACATCATCCACTAAATTGAGTTTATAGATGGATGATTAACTGAATATACTTTAACTGTTTTTAATCGATTTTAAAAAAATGTGTATTTCTTCAATCATAACCCCTTTAAAGCTTTTCTAAGCTAGCCCTTATTGAGGCATATGTTTATATATATATACAGAATTTTTATTCAATATGTTTGCTTTGCTTTTGGTTGGAAAGATATCTCATAAATCTTAATCAATGAAAAAGAGTAAAGCATTAAGAAGAAGCAGTGTTTGATGCCAAGTTAAAGTTGCGTTTTCATCTAAAGTAGTATTTATAAGTGGATCCTTCTTTTTGGTTATTTTTTGAAATAATTTATTTGGTCCAAAAATTACAAGGATTGATCTTATAAAAAGTTAGATTTGTTTATGTTTGTGATCGATAAATTTAATATTTAATTATATAAAAGTGTGTTATCATAATTTTTCTATTATTTTTGTTTTTTGTTTTTTTTTAATATAGAAATCACATTTTTTATTTTTATATGTGTTACGTTTTTTTTATTATTTTCGCATATTTATTTTTTTCTCTTCTTTCTATATTACATAAATACATTTTTTAATTATTTTTTCTTTCTATATTCTTTAATGAAAACAGATACTAAAATTATATATCCATATTTTTTATATAATTAATGTTTTAGAATATTATTTTAATTTTATCTTATTTTTCTTTCTATTTTTTAAATATATAAATATATCAAATTTTTTTCTTTCTCATATTTTTACTATTTTTTAAATATAAAACATATAATAAATATTTTTTAAACTATAATACTTTTATTTATCTCAAAAAACAGAACAGTTAAAAACAAATCCCCTTTATATATTATTATAAAAGTGATAGATATCTCGCATTTGAATAAAGTTACTTCGAGACTCTTAGTATTTGACTTTCATGAATATTTAATTTAAAAAAAAAATTGATGTTTAAAATCTTCTTCTTTCTATAAAATTATTAAAAAAAATTAAGAAAATTATCATTCACAAGAGAGGTTGACTTTTAAATAAATCATAAATTTTTTCGAATATAATATATTAATGAATTTTTTTGGATGTGCTATAATGGATAGATAACTTATTATAAACATAAATTGAAACACTTAATAATTATTGATCAAGCATATTTCATTTTATAATATAAAAATATGCTAATAATGAGATGTTAATTTTGTAATAAATAATAAAATTTGTGGAATATAATATGTTAATAACTTTAAACTCTTTAAATCTTTGACCATATCTTTTATTATAAGTTTTAGTGTTTTCAAACTTTTTTACCTAGTTAATTTGGTATAAAACATTGCAAAGGTTATATAAATGCATGTTCTCTGTTAAGTGAATTACATTTATAAGATATTTAAATTAAATACATTATAATTTTTAATTTTAAATTATTATAAAATAATATATTAATAAATATTATTTTATTTTATTTTTTACTCTTTAAATATATTTACTTTTTTACTATTTTTTTATTTCTCTTATGTTTATTATTTTATAAATATATAAATTATACTAATTTTTTTTAATTATCATATTTTTATTTTGTTCTAATTATCTGCAAAAAACTCCATTTATATATATATATATATATATATATATATATATATATATATATATATATATATATTTTTTTTTAAGTACACAAGTCAATTTTTATTTTTATTTTTTAAATAAAGATGGATACAAATAATAACCACCAATTAAATCGAATACTTCATGGGTGGGTGGGGCCATTAACCTTTCCTGCTTTTATATAGTATTTAGTCCCATAGCCAGCAAACACGTAACATTTCCAATTGAATTAAGTTTAGTTTATAAGTTTACTCTTAATTTTCTGTATTTTTAATTTTTAGATTAACAATTATTATTTATTTATTTACAATCATTAATTTCTATTTAAATTGGAGGTTTTTTAAATTCCGAACACTAAATAGTGAAAATATGGTCAAAATCATGATAAAAAATTTAATTTACCATTTGATTCAAGTTTCCTTTACTCAGCCCTAAAAATATATTTTAATTCATCTAATAATACATTTTAATTTAATTTTGATTAATAAGTTTTAATATATACAAATAGTTTTTTAATAAAATAATTTACCAATAGTTTTTTTTTGCATTTATTAAATTTTAAGAATATAATCATTTAATTATTTTTTATTAACTATAGCACGTATAAGTTTTTTTTTTTAGAATTGTAAAAATATTTAATACTTCATTAAATAAATTTAATAGTTTAATTGATATTAAATCGAGAAGATTTTTCATTGTTAGCTATTATTAAACATCGATTTTAGTATTACATTGTAAGATAATTATTAAAAAAATAATAATAAAATAAGACAACTTACTATCAGATTAAAATGTAAAAAACCTTTACAATATATTCTTTTATATACTTTTTCTCATTAATTTAATTTAACATGTGATATATTTTTTAAAATAAAATAAAAATGTGAATTATAAGACCATAAACATTTGACTTATCTAAATTTCGGTCTCCGTTGTTGTTAGCACAATGTCGATATATTATTCAATTATTGGATCATTGAAATTTAATATAAAAAAAAATATTAGAGAAGAGTATTTCTATGATATAAAAATATTTTTTAAATTAATATTTTTTTAATTATATGTCCATCCATGATTGAAAATAAGATTATATATATATATATATATATATATATATATATATATATATATATATATATATTTTATGCCGTTAGTATATATTCGGATTAAATTCTAAAGAAAACTTTTTCGATTCTCATAAATAATTTTTTATACACCCTCTGGAAATGAAAATCAAGAAAAACATGACAATTTAACTTTTATAAGATTCACGAGTACTTAATATTATTTTAGAACATTTTACGAGACATGATCGAGAGTGTTACATTCCATGTTTACTTTGTCGAAAACGATTTTTTATTTACACAAACATATCTTCAAATGTAAGCTCCCACCCCATCTCCTTTAAGACATAAAGATATAAATGTGGTGCAAAAAAGTCTGAAATATAACTTTTTTTTTACCTTCACCCTTTTCCTTCCTTTAATCTTAACAAAAGCACAATAAACATATTTTTTTAATCAATATATATAAAGACACATGGCTAAAACAAAGAAGGTCCCTCATTATCTTATTCTGGCAACTAAAGGAAACAATCAGGAAGGTAGCATTGAAAGTTTTATTTTCTATAATCATGTTGTAATACGATAAAAGATCAATAAGAAAAAAAAGTTTATTTTTCATCTTCATTCTTTAATTTTAATAGTTAGATAAGTTATTAAATCTCTCTAAACGAGAATAAATACTAAATCTCTAAAAAAATGTAATCTTTATTAAAGAGCTAATAAATCATTTTCAATCGTATAGTTTCACTCATAAGATTTATTGATTTTCAAAGATTTTACCAAGTTTTATTTGAACTAAGGACTTTTTTATTGTAAAGAAGTGTTGTGCAACCTCTTACCAAGAAAGGTGGTCCCAAGGGTAAAGCAGCATATATCATCCTGACACACGTCCGCGTAGAAGAGGTGATATCCTTTTCATTGGATCAAGCAATGCCTTTCATTTGCGCTTCAAGGGAAAAATAATATGTATATATATATATGTTTGTGTTTGTTTGAAACACTCACCAGCACTTAATAATCTCACACTCATATTCAAAGGCATACACAAAAAAATGAAAGGGAACAATCCCTATTTGGTTGTGATTGCCATACAAGCCATATATGCTGCTATGTTTCTTCTCTCAAAAGCAGCATTCGATCATGGAATGAATAATTTCATCTTCGTCTTCTACAGACAGGCAATAGCAACCATCTTCTTGACCCCTTTCACTTTCTTCTTCGAATGGTATGTAAGAATGTCTTGTTTATATATATATGTATCATGATCTTCTTGATGAATATATATCAGTATTAGCTCAACTTCTCTGACATTAATACAAGTTTTTAACTCAAACCCATTTTTGCTGTAGGAAAACTGCACCTCCTATGCCCTTTTGGACTTTCTGCAAGATTTTCTTCCTTTCTTTCTTCGGGTATGTCCAAATATTGAATTGACATATATAATGCATTAAAGTTGAATAGTATCGATGGAACATGATGGTGTTTGAACTTTGCAGCTTGTACCTTACAAGTTAACATGATCTTAATTTTATATGAAGATGGCAGTACATTAACTGTTCCTTGTTTTTCCCCTTCTTTGAAATTGTGTCGGTGCTCCTAAATTTCAGGATTACTTTAAGCTTGGACATATATGGTATCGGTCTTATTTACACCTCAGCAACTTTAGCTGCTGCCACCACAAACTGTCTTCCAGTTATCACCTTCTTCTTAGCACTCCTTCTGAGGTAAGCTGTACATCAGATCATGCTGGATCACATGATTGCTTTGCATTTTGTTCTATCATATCAAGTTAACTTTTTCCACTTTCTGAGTCAAATCTAACTTTGACCCCATCTTGATCGCAAACAAAACTTAACAAAAATTGTGTCAATTGTTCGACCACTAATGATCTTTTAACAAAGGTGATTAAGATTCTAGTTCTCAGCTATTACATTGCATGTATATGAATTACACTCGGAGCGCACCTAATACTTACATAGAAACGTAAATTAATTAATTAAGCGCATGTAGATTATTATATATAGATCATGTGAGCGATTATAGTAGATATATATGTAACATGTAGACGACAAAGAGAACATGACAGGTATATACTTTAAATACATCTATGGAAGCTTGACGATTGACGTCAAAAGCACAAAAAAGATAAAGATAAAGCACTGAAAAAGAAGACATATCAGATTTCAGATTTTTCATCTGTAAATCTCTAGAGTGATTTCCCTCCCCTGGAATATATATATATATATATATATATATATATATATATATATATATATATATATATATTTATTTATTTTTCTTTTGTCATTAATTATGTTTCTGAAATTTGTGCAAAGTTGTCAAAAGGTTGAGTTGGCCTAACCTAACGTCCTACACAAGCCTTATCTGCTTCTAAAAGAAACCTACGTATATTGCTTAGCTTAGATCCTCATCATAGTTAGAAACTTCAAATAGTTATTCTGAAAATGTTAAACAATTCATTTTTATTAATATAATAATCTATTGAATGATTTAATAAAAATAAAAATAAATTAAAACTATTTTTTATTAATATAATAATCTATTGAATGATTTAATAAAAATAAAAATAAATTAAAACTATTATTATAATATTAAAGAGAGTTGTATTCAGTTATATGAATTTGAGTTGTCAAAATATCATTTTCGATCTTAAAAATAACTGAAGAGAGGTTACTTGTAACCAATAGCTATATATTTAAGAAGAAAATACGTGACATGTTCTTCATAAGATTCACACGTAGACGTGGAAAGGGGTTAAAGCATCTTTATATCATGCAATTAAGGAAGAGTTACATCAGTTTTTCTCATTTTAAATATTTTCGTGTTCTATTTTTTTTATATAAATACAATAATTGCTTGCATAAATAATTCTACCTTTTTAATATAATAATCTTCTCACTATTCTATTTACCTGAGATGGGACCATTTATGATATTTTCCCTTTTAATATATAAATATAAAGTTATTTGCTTTTCTTTGTATTTGATAATTTTATTTTATATTTTTTATATTTACCATCTAATTAATTTATAAATTATTATTTTTTCTTTACATTGATTAGATAATATAAAGTTATTTGTTGGTATTTGTTAATGAGGCAAAAGTTACACACCATAGAATATTGACAATTTGAACATTGTAATACATCAACCAATCATTTTTCTCTATCATTGTTGTTCCTATCTTTTATTTGGTTTCTCTAGTTTTAAATTTGTCTTGTTTTTTATATTGTTTGTAATATTTTATGTGATTTTAATCTTGAAGTAAAATATTCAAAATATAACATTGTTTAATTTTTTGAAAAAAGAATTCCTCTAAATAATTGTTGATTACTATTTATTAAATATCAATTTAGTAAGTATGATGGAGTTTTATGTACAATTACCATGATTTGTTAAAAAAGTAAAAAATCAAGTAGATATTTAAGAAGGCACACTAATTAATTATATCTTTTTCTTATATATCACTTTCTGTATATAAATATATGTATATATTAAAATAAAATTTAATATTATATATTTTAAATAAAGTCCAACTTTTGTATTTAGTCTCCTAAAATTCTATCCTTTTCCGTCCTTGCTTAGATGATTTTTTGTGAAAAAGACAATTTCAGTTAGATGTTTTGACAAGGACAAAGTACTTACAATCTAGGGAAGACACGTTTCCTTTCAACTTTTGGAATGTGTTTGGTATATTTGAGTTTCCACCAGAATCATACATGTTTCCGTGTCTAAATTTAAATGCTCCTATTTGGATTAATTAATCGAGAAATTTGTTTTACAAGAAAAAATATATTATGATTGAAATGGTTAAAATTTAGAAACACAGTATATCTTGCACATTTTTTTATTTTATTTATGGTTATTATTTTCCTTTACTTAATTAAGGAATTATTCCTTTGAATAGTATCAGCATATAGAGTGGGACTTTTACGTTTGTAGCAATTGCAGTATAGAAATTTCATGCAGCAACAATTTCTATATAAGGAGAATGGATCACGTGCATTTACCTCCATACAGTAGTAAAGATCTGTGAAACTAGAGATAGACTGCTATTAATCTGCATGTGAATTTTGCATTGTAGGATTGAGAGTTTGAAGATAAAGACGAGCTCTGGGATTGCTAAGTTGATAGGCATTGTGGCATGTTTGGCTGGTGCAGCAACCCTTGCCTTTTATAAAGGTCCTTCTTTCAAACTCTTCAGCCACTTTCACCTTCTGGATTCCCACAAAAGCCTACAACATCAAGGTTATTCTCAATCCGGTGCATGGATTAAGGGTTGTTTCATCATGCTCCTCTCCAACACTTTTTTCGGGCTATGGCTTGTACTGCAGGTAGTCTCAATAACTTTACCCTTCAATCTAGTGATCAACACTCATAAGTTACATACTCTTGACTACTTAATTAATTTCATATATCCAGGCTTTTATCATAAAAGGGTACCCTTCAAAGCTACTATTCACAACTATTCAGTGTTTCTTAAGCTCAATTCAGTCTTTGGTCATTGCCTTGGCCGTAGAAAGGGACGTTGAGCAATGGAAGTTGGGTTGGAATGTTAGACTCCTAGCAGTAATATACTGTGTAATTCTCTCAATCTTCCTAGTTAATCTGGTTTTCACTTTTATCTCTACATATATATAATAAACTCATGACTCATCGCAATTAATTTGTCATGATAGGGAATTATGGTAACTGGTGTCACATATTACTTTCAAACATGGGTCATAGAGAAAAAAGGACCTGTGTTTCTAGCCATGTCAACCCCACTGGCTCTTATCATTACAATTTTCGCCTCTGCAACTGTCTTTGGTGAGATGATCAGTTTGGGAAGGTAAAAATTAGTTCCACCATCAAATTCTCTTTGAAATATTAATCAAGTTTAACCCTAACTAGATCTAGGGAGATCGATCTAAGATTTCATGCACAAGACACTGTGCCATATGTGTGTTGTGCTGGAATATAAATCAATCTGAAAACGTGAGAAAACTGGTTTTCTTTATATCAAAACCAGCGACTGATTCATTGAATGATTGGTTTGATCAGTGTTCTTGGAGGATTCGTGTTGATTCTAGGACTGTACAGCGTGTTGTGGGGAAAGAACAGGGAACATATGCCAAAAGGCACACAAGACGTGGAGGCATCGGGTAAATGAGCTTGAAATTGCCATGATATGTGAAGATAGAGACATGCTTCAGAAAATTTTTGCCAACAACACTAATATCATCATAACATCACAGTGCTTTTAAGCCTGTGGATATGTTCAAAGAGCAGGTTTAAGTGTAAATGTTTCAGTGACCCTTATGACAAAAAAACAAGGGTCAATTATCTTTTCATTAATGTATTAGGTTGTAAGGGGTTATTTTATTTTGAATAATTTTGTGTTCTCCTACCATATATTTTCATTACTTTCATGTTCAATATTTTTTTTATATAAAAAGGAACTTTACATTATCATTTTGTTTAATGATATTATTAGTAAGAAGTGTGGAATATCTTTGACAATAATTAATTTTGTTGACAAATTGGATTAATCTTTTTAGTGGAATATTTTTTTAATCATTTCTTTTATACAGATATCGAACCAAATTCCACTTATACTTGCAACCACTTGTGGGTTATACACTATCATTTGATTATATTATCTTTTATTCACTTTTGTAAAATTATTATATGATTATTTATGGTTTAAATACACAATCACATGATTATTCACGTTTCTAATAGAACATTGTAATTAACTAGTTGTTGATGTAAATATATTCATAAAAATATATATTTTATTTAAGTATTAAAAAAATATGAAAAACAGTAACATTTTTTTTTTCGTAACTGAGTCAATGTTTGAAAATTGTAATGGCCTCAAATTAGTCTAAAGTCTTTCAATTTTCATTGAATTTTTTTTAATAGTTGCGGCATAAAAAGAGAATCTTTGATGGAATTATTTCAATTTGTTAACTAAATGATGATATGATATTCTCTTTTATAAAAAAAATTATGATGATGAAAACTTTTTCAAAAGCTAAATTATAATTCTAATATGATCATCAATATACCCTTGTCATGTCATTGGACTCTAACTTTTTTATGTTTAAAATTAATGAAGAAAATCTTGATTGTATCTTAATTATACCTTTATTTTTTCAATTAATATCTTGGTAACAACTTTTTTTTTAAATCATATATTTTACACACCTCTCATGTCTTTGAGTGAAAAGTGAGAGTATGGTTTAATGAACTTACTATTTGATTGGAAATGTGAATGGTGTATCTATTCTATTCTGTAAGCACTATAATTTTAAAATAAAACTTTATTATAAATTTGTGTTTTTTCTATGTAATTATTTAATAGGAACAACTTCCAACTTTCCCTGTCAATGTTTTCAAAAGGGACTCTTAAATTGAAAACATTAACCTCCCTATTTCTAGGTGTTTTATTCAAATAAGTGAATTATTTATATTGATTATTAATAGTTAAGAATAGTTTTTTTTTTTAACTTTATATATAGCATAAAATATATATAAAAAAACTATTAAAAATTCATTTTTATTTTATTTTTTATTTTCTTCAACTAAAAAATTTAATTCGAAATTTAAATTTAAATTCAAGAATCAAATAATACCATTTAATTTATTTAAATATAATATCATATATTTGGAAATAACTACAAATTAATAAATACATAATTATGTTTAGATTTCTTTTAAATTTTGTTTTATATATTTCTAAATTAATTTATAATTTAAAAAAATTATAATAACAAAAATAAATAAATATTCAATATAAAATAAACTGAAAACCATTAATTTAATTTGATATAAACTTTATATTAAATTAAAATTGATTTTATATTTATATTTGATCTACATGTTGTTATTTAATAAAAATTGAATCAAAACCATCTACCAATATAATGTTAATAAATAAATTGGAATATTAGAAAATCCATCTTATAAATAATATATTTTAAAATAAAAATTATTTAAATAGAGTCTTTATCCATTTATTTATTTAAATAGACATATTTACTATTCCTAATTTTTTTCTCTCCACTCATAATTTTTTTTTCTCATTTGTTCCTTTTTTTTCTCTTTCTTTAATGTAGGTTTCTTGTTTCTTTCTTTCTTTTTCTATTTATTCTCGTAATTAAATTACTATATTAAAGTTTAATAAAAATATGTTAAAAAATATTTTAAAATCAATATTAAAACTAAAAAATATTAACTAATTATTATGATTACAATAAATAATTTTATTTATTTGGAAAATAAATAAATTAATTTAATATCATAAATAATTAATTTAAAATTATTTTATCATAATAATAATTACTCGTATAATTAAAAAATATCAATTATTTATGAATTAAATGTTTTTTTACTTAATATTTTAATATAGTTATAATTAAGTTGTGTTATGATAACAAGTTAAATTACATGATTAAAAAATTATTTCAAAATATTTTTTTTTAATAATTATAATATAAAAATAATATTTATAACATCTCAATTTTATTATATAATATTTTCTCAAAAGAAAAAAAAATGACAATAAACGAATATAATGAAAAAAATAATAAAAAATATATGAAGACAGAGAAAAAAATAAATGAAAAAAAATAATTATATTACATCAAAAAAATTTATTTCTATTTATTAAATTTTATATATGAACAATAAATAAGTCTTGTTAAATAAATAAATTTAGATAAATTCTATTTAAGTCATTTTTATTTTTAACTATATTATTTATGAGATTTATTCAAGATTTAATTATAATAATATAATTTATTTTATATTTCAATGTTTAAATAAAAATAGTTTTCTTTAGATATTTACAAAATTCAACCTTTTATCAGTTAAAATCCTACCACTTAAAAAAAATCTTGTTATTTTAATTTATAAGTTGACTTCTTATTATTCATATTTATAAATTTTTTTAAACCAATGATAGAGGTACTTAAGTTGTCTTTCCATCTTCCAAAAATGTTCAACATTAATTAGTGGGTGATGATTAAAAGTTGTAGAATTTACAAAATATAATTAGAAGACAATAAACCATGTATTGATTAGCCTTTTAAGATTTTTGTTTATATTGTAAAAAATATTGAAATATAACTTATATTCATGTGCATTTTAAATTAAGTGGATCAAGGATGTAATTTAAGAATCATTTAATGGACTGCAGAGTAGGATTTTTTTTTGTAAAATATCATAATGTAAATATAATATTTAGGGAATAAATAATGAAAACACGTACAATACCCCACACATATATAAATAAATAAATAAATAAATATATATATATATATATATATATATATTTATTGTTATATTGGTGTGTTTGGTAATGTTTCTTCGTTCTTTATATTACTCTTCATTGTAATACAAAAACACTTTTTTCATTGCTTAACAAAAATAATTCAAGAAAATTTAGGTTTTTTTACTGGGTTGGGAGTTTAAATAACAAGGGGTTCTAATAGTAAGACCCATTAACTTTCTAGATAGCTTGTATTTTTGGGCTTAATTAAGGCCCATGTTATGTGGGATTTCCATGATTCCTGCAATACAGAAAGAGACAAGGCTAGCGAGACAATCTCGGCATGTTCTGGCCTAACCTCAAATCTCCCAAAACTGTCCTCTTCAAACGACGTCGTTACTGTAGATTCCTTCAACTTTGGTCGAACTTGACTCAATCGTCTTCCCGGATATGCAATTAACACGATGGCGAAACTTGTCGTCTTTGAAGACTCACGTTTTTTCCTCTCTTACGCATTTTTTCGAGTTTCATTCCACTCCTTGTACCCGTCAAAATTGGAAGAACAAATTCAACTCCGTGAGTTTTGTTTTTCTTTTTTGCTGATTTCAAAAGGCCATTTTTCATGCTTGCCTGAAGTCACAGTGAATAATAAACAATGAGAGGGAAAAGGAAGTTGCTTTATTGGTCATGCAAGATGGTAGAAATCGAATGTTGGAGTAATGTATCCATTCATTTAAAAAATATCACAAATTGAAATCACTATTACATAACCTGATATACCAACTCATGTGAGCATGTTTAAGTATTGTTCCAATTTGTTGTTAACTATGTTTGCTTATGAAGAATCATTTATGGTGTTTAATATTTTTTAGTCCATACACATTTTTTAATTCTTGCTTTTAGTGTCCTGAACAAAATTTTTTGTATTTTTGGTCTTTATTTTTCCTCTCCTAACAGTTTTGATGGGTGTTTACGTATCCGAACATGAAGAAATCATGTCAATTCTATACAAAAATTGCAAAAAGCTTAAGCTATTGGCTTCCAATTTGACGTGAAAATTCACGAATATATCCGCCAGAAAAATAAACATGCAGTTAGTCCCCATTGTTTAGTAATAATGTCAAGTGATGACCTTACATTGACAGTCCAGTTAACAAAGGAAAAGTATAGGGACGAAAACCATTAAGAAAATTGTTTAGGAATTAAAATATGTTAAACCCTTGGTTATGAATCATTTTTTTCAGCTAGGGTTGTTTATGTTATTGTTTCTCCTTGGATGACTGATTAGCTCTTTACTAGCTATGACAAAGATTGAAAATTAATGAGATATTTTATTTTTTTTTCCCTTGCAGGATATAAAAAAAGGCCAACAACCCTCAAAGGTATGTATTGGAGCATATAAGTTTAGCTCATATATTTCTGCCTATTTGGGTAATTATAGGAAGTTTATGAACGGCTGTGGATTGTAAAATTGTAAAGTATTATTCAAAGGAGTGTATTGTTGGTATTTTAAATTTTCTCCTTTGATATATCGATTATCATTTAATTAGTTTTATACAAGTAAAAGCTTTATCATGTTAGTATGATGAAAGAGTCTCATGCATGTTGAATTGGAGAAAACTGTTTACTGCAGTGTTAAGATTGATTCAATTGGTACAGGCTTCCAGCTGCCTTTGGTGAATTTTAATTCAAAAATCCACGGGTGAACAGTATTGAACTCATTTTTTAATCGTTATTTATTTAGGACAATGACATATAGCTTGCTGAGAGTTTTAGATCTAAGGTTTTACAGAATTTCTTTATATGGAAATATCTGTCTGAACTAAACAAATGGAGGACAACAATTTATGATGAATATAATTTAGGTTATTCCATTTGAATACCTCTTGTACACATTCACACATGACAATATCTAAGTTAACTGGAACCTATTAAGTTATTTCTGTAAGGGGAAGATTTCTACACCTTAAATTAGGCATGCGGTGAAACTGCTATTATCAATTAACCTTTGTAGATAATCAGTTCAAACCCTAATTAAAAAGAAGATCAGACAAGGGTTGAGAGAAGGAAATGTATATGCTCAGATGTACAAAATTGTACTACATTCTCTTCATTTTCCTCTGTTTTCTTTACCTATTCAGTGTGCTTAGATAAAATATGACATCTTTTATTATCTCTGTTTTATAAGCCCTATGACTTTCACATTCAATTGCTCTGATGTTATGGTTGATGATATTTGTGTTTATAAATTATAAACAAACAATGGCCGATTACTCAAATTAGGCACAAGCTTGCTTTTATTGCTGGACAAATATTTAGTCTTCTGTGTGTTAGAGTGGTTTATGCTTTTACTCAGTATTTATTGATTTCTCATTTCTCAAGCTCAAGGGACTTTTTTAACTATGAGATGCAGTGAAAATTTTAGTGGCATGCAATTAATAAGAAATTTAGATAGAAATTGGTTGGTTAAGCATGTAGTTTAGGACTGACATAGTTATGTTATGTCTCCATGCGATTCATACTACTATTATGGGGAAAACCCTGCTTGTTTGACATCAATATAATTATTAACAGAGTTGCTTTACTCATGATGGAAATGTGCATTTCAGAATCACATAAAATTCATTACACGTCAAAAGCGTGCTGATGCAAAGAAAGCTCTAAATAGTCTTCTTTGCAATAGTGGATCCTCTAAATTTTCATTTGAGGTATGCTTTCCAAGATCTTTGATTATGTTCAGAAACTTAGTTCTATTATGCTGTTATTGTTATTACTTATTTTTGTGTGGACTTTTGGAGTAAAACTTTTGTGCTCTTTAGATGGGACTTTCTGAAACATAAAGCCCTGTGGACAACAGGTGTTGGATGAAAATTACAAAAAGGAAAAGAGTACATGTGTGTAACTTGATTATAGACTCCTTCTGAAAAACACAAATGAGAATATATTAATGAATCACGTCTGTGTGTCTGAGATAAAAAAGAGGAGGGAAGGATCAATTACACTGGTTTAAGTCAAAATCACTTTTACATGATTTTACAAACTTCATTGTTGGATTAGAACTTTTCATTGATATACATCAAAATTAATGAGATATTTACCTCTGAAATATATGAAATTTGATTATATTCTTATTGCTATTCAATTTTTACTTGCCACAAATAACGGAGGTAATATATAGTACAATTCAGCAAATGGATCAATACAAATCTCATTAAATACAAAGTTTGTTATTTGTGTAAAACTGTTAAGACTTGTACTAATGCAAACTGCCCCCACCCCCCTCTCTTGTTGCTGCTGATGTATTATGTGTCTATATGAGGGATCAATATTATATTATAAGTTCCATCCACCTTTGCGGTGTCAATAGCTTTATGTGGAATGTTTTTTTTATTGGTTTAATTATTGAATTGTAACCATATGTTATCTTCTTTGTTATGTCAAAATTTACTAAAATGATCAATATTACAAATATATAGTATACTTCTTATCTTTTTCAAAAGTATATATTATGCCAATTTTAATGTCTATCTTTGAGATAGGAATTATTTTCAGATAAATATAAGATATTGCATATACGATCAATATGATATAAACTTCCAATCTAACTCTGGATTCTGAGATAAAAATATCAAGTAAAAAAGTACTGAATGATATAAGGGTGGATATAACTTACACGAGTGTAAACTGACCCCTTCTTGCTTTCTTACTACGCACACTCACACGATAAAACTAATATAATATCCAGAGAGGTGCACATGTCAACATTTTATGATCTGTATACTCTTCAAATTGCATTTTGGTCATTTTGTATGATGGTGGGTATTTCTATGTTGATGTTTTGTGATCTTTTGGATGCTTAACACGGCTCATTGCTCTAGTTGCAGTTAAAACTAATTGAAACCTACATGCTATTGAGTATGGTCTGTTATTCAATTTCAATCTACTTTAGAGATAGAGTAAGATCGCTTTCCCTGATGTGCAATGAGCAGTTGCTTCAGAATTACACTCTCCCCGTTCAGCTAACATCATAGAGATGTTAAGGAACTAAATCACATTTGTCAAAAAATGCAACTCGTTCTTTTTCAAGCATTTCTAAGATGTTTTTGCTTGTACTTAATAACTTACATTGTGTTCAATTTATATGTATTACATTTGCTAACTGTCAACAATTTCTGATGACAATATTTTATGGTGTACACTCTCCTAGAACAAGTACGAAGGCCAAGGTAGGCATTCCAATAAAGATCAACCAAAGTCTGGTCAGCGGTCTGGTGGAAAATCACAAAAGAAAACTAAACGTGAGTTCTTTTTAGCTCACGTTTATAGTCTATTCCTTCATTTTTTGTAAATTTTCTCATCAGTTCTTCCCCAACCCACCCTCAACTGCATGTGTGTGCTTGTTAGAGTTTATTGTTCTAGTGATAAGTTTCTGGTAGCAAATTCTTCTGAGGGAAATACATAGAACCTTGTGATATTTTGAAATATTATAAACATACCTGGCAAAGGGACGACTTACTAAAACCTCCTCTTATAAATTTTAATACGAACATCCTGCCCTTAATTCCATAGTCAACGATTGCATTCTTATAAAATACCTCATTGAGTTATATTTGTGATATTTCAAATCTCAGGAAATATACGTATTTCACTAAAGTATACCTTTTTATGGACTTTTTGTAGGAAAGTACACTTTTCCAGCAATATATGTGTAGTTGTTTTAGTTAAAATCTGGCACACTTAGTCATTACAATTTATTATTTATGCCATCTTGTTTGTGCGACTGTGTCTTTAAATTAACATTTGTTTACTTTCCTTACGAGTGAGCTCCGCTATATTCAGGAAAAATCAGAAGAGAAAGTTTCTCCGAGGACTTTGATGGCCATCCTGAGCAGATATTCCAGGCTACATATGGTAACAAATGGTATACGTGGTCCTTTAGCAATTGGAGTGGTTCTTCTTCTGAGCATTCCACGTCTGGGTTTGAATGGAGGGAACATTCAAATAGGACAAACAAGTGGAAAAAAAATGAAAGTGATCTTGAGCATGATGATGATGACTCATGTTTTGTAGGATCAAGTTCTGATAGAACTATTCTTGGTCTTCCTCCAACAGGTCCATTAAAGATTGAAGATGTTAAAAATGCGTAAGTGCTTCAGGGCTTCTTCTCAGTGCAAGATCTTATATGGGGCATAAAAGATGATGTACACATCATACACTGCTGATATCTGTTTATTTCCTTTGTAGTTTTCGGATATCAGCTTTAAAATGGCATCCTGACAGGCATCAAGGCTCTTCCCAGGTGAGTTTGAAATATCCCTTTGACCGAGTTGTATCATAAATACAAGTTACAAATATGATTGAGAGGGACATTGCTATAACAGCATGGCACAAAATTCTGCATAAGCTACAAAAATGATCCATCCTGAACTACCATTTATAAATGGGCCATCTTGATGAATATTCTTTAAGCACAAAAGTAGTTGCCAAGGACTGTGAAATTGCTAATATTTATACCGTCTACAACATTTTTGAACAATGTGTCTCTGTTGTGGCTTTTACGGTGTACCCTCCCACCAAGGGTGCATCATTGGTTCTACTAATATTTGCCATTGATTAAAATGACTTTTGCATCTAACGTTAATACTCAGTTCACTACCAGATAATTTGATAAACAGTTTTTTTTTTTAAATGATATTTATAAAATGTCTCCCTAAAAATGGAAATTTTTTACCAGCTCTTCAAAAAACAAGGAAAAATGGTAAGGAAGAAATATCTATGATGGATTGCTGAGCAAGCAGGTCTTGTGCATCTCTGTTTAATGAGACTGCCCAGTTGCAGAAAAAGGTTGGGACTAGTGATTTTTGGTCCATAAACCACCTTCTCCTGCCCTTCTTGGAATCCTGCATTAGACATGAAAATGTACTGGTTCATATTTACTGGTTGTCCATCAATTTTGGCAGCTCTGATGGTCATTGGTATTCAATGTTTGCAAAGGGACAAATGAAAAATTATTTTCATATATATGTATAATGAATGACAAATAAAATATTGGTTTCCCGCTGAATTGTGAAAACTTATTATATCAGGTGTTCTAAAGGTTCTCCATAGGGGTGTCAATATGGGTTCTAACTCGTGAGCCAACCCGGTTCACCACGGGTTCGAGCCGGGTTGGGTTTGATTTTTTTTATTTCTACTGATTATGGGTTAAAAATGAACCCGGCTCACTTAACCCACGGGTTAAACGGGTTCGAGCCGGGTTATGGTGGGTTGGCCCGCAACCCACCATTAATTTTAAATTTTAAAAATAATTATCATAACATATTAACCTTAATTAATCATTTATTTTAAATTTTTAAAATAATTATAATACTTTAGTAACCCTAATTGATGTTGTCCTGTTTTACCTCTACCCTACATTGTTGGCTGTCGCCACAAGCCAAACCCTCACTTAAACTTGTTATTAGTTGTTAGTTGCACCATTACATTTGTCGCTGCACTTTAGTCACTTGTCTTATTATCTGTCTACCGCACCACTACACCATGTCTATTGTATTGCTTTCAAAGGTAAGAATTTGTTTCATAACCTAAACCATCGTATTGCTTTCAAAGGTAAAAATTTGTTTCATAACCTAAACTATTGGATTGATGAATCTTTATTTGAAAATTGTAGCATCTATACATTATTTGTTGTTTGTTATTAATTTATGCGTATATCTCTTTAATATATGAATTTTTGACTTTTTTCTTTTAAATTAATTTACGAGTATGAAATCTGAAACAATACATCAAAGCGTCAATGTAAATTGTATTGGTGATGATTTTATTATTAATGAAAAACCCAATGAGTCAATTTCAATTAATAACGAAGATACTGATGTTGAGAAAGAAAGGAAGAAAACATAAGTTTCTACATCCGAAGTTTTTATATGATTTAAAAAATTAAAAAAATATGGGTTAGTGAGTCAACCCACCTAACCCACCAACCCGTGGTGGGTTGAGCCGGGTTGTAAAATTTCTGACTCGCCAAAAAGTGAGCCGGGTTAAGCTCATCTATTTTCAGCTCAACCCGTGCTGCCGGGTTGACTCACTTTGACACCCCTAGTTCTCCATAAAAGCCACCTTTCTGTTTTCATCTTTTTTGTTATTATATGTGCTATCTGGTCTCATGGCTGCAATTTACCTTCATGTGATGGCAGGCAATGGCTGAAGAAAAATTTAAACTATGTGTAAATGCATACAAAACATTATGCAATGCTCTCGCCCCATCTTAGGTGGCCATATGGCTTGTTCAGCTTCCAGTCAGTAAGGAAATCCATCACAATTGAACAATGTTGTACGATTTAATTTATTTTTTTGCTTGCAATTTTGAATGTTGCAAAAGTGCACACTTACTGGAAAGAAGTGAACAATTGTTCTGTGAGGGAAATAAATTTTTCATCCTACGGGTGGTTTTTTGAAATACTGCCTTTATATATAGTGATGTGATAATCACCCGACATAAGTATTTTAAGAGTAATTTCGACAAACCGAATCAGTCATCTCATGCAAGTTTGTTAACACAATGAAATGCAATGGAATCATTCTGTTTTTTTTTTTCTTTCATCAGGTTTACTATTTCATGTCTATTTGTTTTATTTCATTAGTATTTTTTAATCGTAGTCAGAGTCTAAAGGTTATTTATACTCATTCAATAATGAATGTTATGTATGGTTTCCTATACACTTAATAATGACTAGTTTTACACTGATTTGTCAGTGTAAAATGTTTTTTCTAAAATTATTGACTTTTATAATAAATATTTTAAAATTATATTATAAGGATGTTTAGTTGACTGATAATAGAAATTTTTTTAAAATCATTTCTGTGATTGTGTTGAAATTAAATTCTATTTCTAATCTATTAAATATAGAGCATAATTCATAATGAAGTCGCAACAGATTAACTGAACGTTATCTTAAATGTATCATTATGGAAATGATTTTAAAATAAAGTAAGAAATCAAATATCAAATAGAAGAATCAACCAAAAAGGAAACAGAAAGATGGCCTAATCCATTGCTCTTTATGGTGCAGTTCGGCAAACGACAAGCACAGAAAAGATATTTCCTGGTATTTCAAGGCAACAAAAGAGGGATGGCAAGATGCTCTTGAGAAAGTGGATCGGGACAAACGGGGGGAGGGGTCCCTTTCTGCTATCTGCTCCAATGCCATCATTGCGTGTTCCACAAAAGCTAATTCTGCACTTGTTGGGAAAAAGCCATTCTTAATTCCTGCCTTAATTTTTTGAGTAAAGTCCATTCCTATAGTTAGTGTGCTGTGAAATGGATGATGACGGTCCAAGAAATATTCAAACATCAGGCCCCAGCAAGCATCCAGTTTGCATTTACACAGATACTTCGAGCTGTCATCCTTAGATCCTTTTATGATGTAATCTATCCACATGTAGATTATGTTTGGAATTCAATTCAAACCCCAGTTTACATTGTATGGGCTTATGCACTCACTCTCAGTACAAAGCGGCAAGAATCTCTTTCATAGAAGCTGATTCAATGTCTTAGCTCTTCCTTTTGACAAATAGTGATACTATCTTGGTTGACACTTTCAAAGATGCATTCTTTTCAATCTTCAAACACTGGATACATTCATAGAGAATAGAATATACTCATAGGCTACTGAAAAGATATAGGCTATGGAAATACTAGACCTTTTGACTCGCCATAGCCCTTTCACAGAAAATGACTGTTAGTCCCAATGATAAAAAAAAAAAAAAAATTTACCCATGCATAAAGAATGATGAGAGATTGAAATGAGAATCGATTTGATTTCAGAACTAACACTAAAGAGGAAACAAACCAATTGGATCATACAAAATCTATACCCATAACCATAATTTGGCATCTCTCTATCAATCTCACTAAACTACTAAAAGAGTACCCTTGGTTAAAAACACAAAAGAACGACGGAGGAAGAGATCATAAAAGCGTAGATCAAGATCAAAAACCCAAAATGAAGTGCCCAATTCCTCTTAAACTTTCCGAAGTAGCTCTCGGGGGGTTCCTGGTAGTGAATCTCGAACTCCTCATCGGCAACGCCGTCGTAGTCACCGTTGGCACCGCTTAGCCTGATCTTGATCTCCCGGAGCTTCTCGGTGGCGAGGCCGAGGGTGAGCTTGTGGCAGCGGCGCTGGTACTTGAAGCCGTTGATGCAGCGGAGGGTCTGGGCGACGGAGACGTAAAACATGAGGTGGGCGATGGAGAGGAGCGTGATGGGGATCCAGCAATGGCGGCATTGGAGGCGCGAGGACTGGGACTGGGCGAGGAAGAGGAGAGCGAGGAAGATGAAGAAAATCTGGAAGAGCTTGTGGAGCTCCTTCTTCTGAAGGTCGATGGCGCGCTTCTTCTCCAGGGTCTTCTCGAAGTGAAGCTGGATGATGGTGTTCAGCGCCTGGAAGGCTGTTTCTTTGGACACCGCTTGCTGGTTTTGTTGTTGTTGTTGTTGTTGTTGGTGGTGGTGGTGGTGGTGGTGGTTGTGGGTGGTTTCGTAGTCTGCCATGGTTGGAAGGGGAGGAAGAAAGGTGGGTATCTTTGTGTTTGTCCCGACAAGAACGTTGGACATTGTTGGGAGAGTTATTATTGGTTCCAATCCAAAACCAAAGGGTAAAAACCTAGCTGTACTCATTCTCACTGTCACAGTAACACTGTTCTTGGTAACTTGGTTGGTAACACTTTTTACTTATCACAACTTCCACTGGAATTATAGTATCAGATATGAAGCAAATATTAAACACTAATATTATGATATTCTTTATTTCATTTAACTTTAATAGTAATACTTAGGGGTTATTGTGAAGCAAAACACATGAGGGATTTGATCTGTGATGGTGGGAATAGTGTAAGTGTAAAGCCATGTTAGGGTTGAACAAAAAGCAAGTGTTGGAGATCCCGATACGTTCTACCCTCAAATTGAAATAATCGAAGGGTTAGAATTAGAACAGTGATGACAGTTTTTTGGAAGATGAAAGCTTTTTAGCAGTAGGGGAGGAGGGTAGGTAGCCATGAATGAGTTGTCGCACTTGGCATGGCAGCAAGTTAGATAAGCTGGTAATGGCTACATATCCGTGTTGCCCTACCTGTAATAACCTCTTTTGTTACCAAAATTAATAAAAATTAGTTTTTTAATTAATGAACTACTATACTCTTTAAAAAAAAACAAAAATTCCATTGTCAAGATTTATTTCTTGAACTTCATATTCTGTCACAAATTTCAAATTCAATCTAATAGTTGTTTATTGTTGAAAGAAAGATTATCTAAAACCATTTTAATAAGTAATTTGGGGACTTAATTATCAACTAAGAAATTGAAAAGTTAAATTTAGTGATGAAGTCATAGGAAGCCTAAAACCATACATTAATTATAATGAAGAGATTAGAATGTAGTTAAATTTGAATTTAAAGCTTAATCTTAACTGAAACAATTAATGTTTTCTTTTATTTTTATACTTTTTGAGTATTAAATGCAAAAAATACAAAATATTTTCTTTATCTGACAAGCAATAAATTAAAAAAAAATGTTATTAAAAAAAATAAATTGTACTTGTAAATTATTCATCAATTATTACACAATAATGATTGATATTATTCTAAAGTGGGAATGACAAGGAAAGTTACTCCCCAAATAGAAGAAACCGATCTCTAAACAGAATTATTTGTACAATGCATGGTGAGTGAATCATTGTTGTACCATGAATTCATAACAAATAAAAGACTTAACACACTCTATTTAAAAACATCAATTTATGCAGAGGTTTTAGATACATGGTTTATATTTGACGACAGAAGATATCTTTAATTTATCTTGATAAACACTGGAGTGGTAAGGGTTGTCAAGAAATATGTTATTACAGATATAATAATATTATAAATTTTATTTTACAAAATTGATTTTTTAAGATTTAGTTAAATATTATTCTATTTGAAAGATGAAACTTCAGGAGTGTTGTGTTTCCAAGGTGTTGTCCTCAACAATCCATTAACAAAAGAAGAAGAGGGTGACATAGAAAATATGCATAGAGAGAGACCCACAAATATGAAGATGAAAAAAAGTGCGACCCAATGGAAATTGGGCTCAACAAAAGATCAATGCTACTGTGTGAGTCTGGCTTGGGTTGAGAATTTTCTTTAATCTACATGTAACCGCATAACCCGTCATCTAGTTGATTATGATGATTGTTGAGATATTTGAAAAAAAAATATCAGTAATATCTAAATATATCGATAATATTTGAGATACTTCAATACTAATTTATTTTAAAATATTTAATATATAATTCTCTTTTTTGACAGGTAACATACTTTTTATATAAATAGATATGATATCGTATTTATGTAATCTAATTATATTCTTATTTTTATTCGTGTTTTTTTTCAATTTATTTATTTAAGTATCAAAAAGTCTCTTTTCAGATATTTCTCCACTTAATATCTACCTTACTCAACGGACACCTTCCTTAATCCTGAAAACAACAAATTTTTTTTAATGTTTTTATTTAATTTGTCTATCTGGCCAACTGGCTTTCACCATAGACAGTTTTGGGCATAAATAAATAGAGGAGCATGCCAAATGTTTGAATTTTAATAATTTCAAACCCAAATAATTGTTGTCTTCTTCAAATGATTGTGCCAATAATGATACATATGCACATTTGACATAACCAAATTCACACCATAGTGCTTTTACTTTACAGAAACATTGAGTCCAAAAGTAATAAAGACAAAAAAATAAATACCACAAAAAAGAAGAGGATAAAGAGACCAAAAACATGAGTAATTCTTCTGTGCTTTTTTAAGGTACCACAATTCAATTAAATGACTTCATCCAACTACAATATGTAATAATATTGTAGAAACAATGCAAATATTCAGGAAAAAAATGTGTGCAATATTATCGTATATATTAGGGTGTACATTACTATATATTTTTTTTCTGTTTTACACATAAATGCAATGAAATAACTCTTATTTGTATAACATACACGATTTTCTTCTTGTTTTATTAATACGCTACATTGAAACGTATAGTCGTTGTTTCATTAAAATTCCAAAATATCATTATAAAGATTTTGACGGTTTACTCTTTTAAATTTTTCTAAAATGGATCAAAATTAAAATTTTCATTGTATTATAAATTTCAAATCATTCACAAAATTTAAAAGAAAACAAACGCAGCATAAGATAATGATTATATTTTTATATATTTAAAATGATGAATATTGTTTTTAAATAGTCGCTGATAACGAAATTTAATAAAAGTTTAGTAAAGTAAATCATTAAATGCAATGAAAACTACGTTTTTAAATCAATTTTAAGAATTAAATCATATATAAAAGATAAAATTATAATTGTACTCTAGACACATAATTATTTATGATCGGAGTAACAAGAGGTAGATTCTACTTCATCATTCTATCAATGAGTTTAGCATTATCAATAAATAAATATAAGAGAAATTTATTTATTTATATTAAAATTTAACTTTTATTTTATTATTCATTTTTCATAATTTAATAATTAAAATGATGAGTTATTATTTTAGATTATTATATTATAAAGATGAACATTAATCTCTAAATCTTAAAAAAACATTCAATATATTTTAATATTATATATACATAATTGAAATTTTTTTTTATTAAAAATAAGATTTTTATTGTTTTAAAAAAGTGCAAGCAAATTTACTTTAAATAAACAATTCATATATATATATTTTTTTAAGAGCACCATTGAGTATCATACACAAATCTATCCTCCTATCTAGGGATGAAAATTAAACTCGTACACGTGGGGATCGACTCGTCCCCGTCCCGAATTTGACGGAGAAAATCCGAGTTGACCGGGGTGGGGATGGGTAATACAATGTCGACCCCGTCCCTGTCCCGACTTTATATTTAAATTTAAAATTTAAAATATTAAAACTTTAAATGTATTTTCTTTTCTTTTTCTATTACATATAAGGATATTTTTTTAAATGTATTTTATTTTCTTTTTCTATTACATATAAGGTTATTTTTTTTAAATGTATTCTCTTTTCTTTTTCTATTACATGTGAGATTATTTTTTAATATTTCACCAATCTTTATTTTTCTTCTACCCATTTTTAATTTTTTTAATTTTTTTTAATCTTTTATATCAATTAATTTATTACATTATTCTCTCTTACCTTTCTGTTTTTTACATTTCCTTAATTTCTTCCTTCAATTTATTTTTTTTTAATCTTTTCAATTAATTTGATGAACATAAAGTAAAATTTTTTTCTTTATCTTTTTCTAAATATTTTACATAAATCATAGTAATAACTAATATTATTTGATTTATAATTTATATTTATTAGGTTTTATTATGTCATATTTTTTTATCTTATTATTCTTATTTATCATATATCAAATTTTATCTTAATAAAATAATTTTATTTTAAAGGATTAAAAAAATTGATAATTTAAACTTTTATTACTTAGAACTAATTAAATAAAAATTAACTAATTAAATAAAAATTAATTTATTAAATATTTTCTCATAAACTATATATTTCATATTTTAAAATGACAACTTAAAAATGAATTAACTTATATATATAATTAAATATTTGAATACAGTATTATAATAATAATAATAATAATGTTATAAGTATTCAAATATTTGAATAATAATAATAATAATAATAATTTTATAAATATTCTCTATATATATATAAATAAATAAAAAATAATTAAATATTTTTTTACATACATATTTTAATATAAATATAATAAATTAAAATGTATATTTAATTAATATTAATTATAAAATTATAAATATTTATTTATATATAAAAAATACATAATAGTTAAAAATAATATAGATTTGATAACGAGATCAAACGAAGAAAAAAATAAAGACTTAATTTTTTGACTTGGACGGAGATCGAGACCAAGACGGGATGGGGACAGATCGGGGAGGCAGATGGCTACACCTATTGAATCAAATGCAATATACTTAGAAGATTATATTGGAATATGCAATACTCAATCTTGAAAAACATGTAAAAAATATCTGCAAAGTGTGTAAGACGATTATCTTGGAATTTACGATAAGACTAGTTATATTATTTCTCATAACATCCGAAATTTATTAGATGGGACTATATTAAATTCTATTATAATTTATATATATATATATATATATAATAATAATAATAATAAATTTTGAATTATAGTATTTCTATAACTTTTTTAAGTAAAAATTTTAAAATAGGTATTGTGCACTAAGAAAATTGGATCAATAATAGAATATATAGTCTTGTCTATAAATTCCCAAATATTCTGATCAAAGTTAGGGACACTTCTACCTTACTTTGGAGATACTCATTACCGAAACAAATAACAGCTACTAATTAAGAACAACTTTGGTAACAATTAATTAAGATGCATATATGATTCTCAATAATATGCTTCATACTGTTTATCTTATTAAAACAAGAATGGACTTTTTTTCATCAATAATACTGTTTTCAAAAATATTTACCAAAATAGCACCTCTGCAACTTTATTTACACAATTAGCACTGTTTACTGTTCACGTAATAAAATAATATTATTTCCTGCAACTGTTCACTGTATTAAAATAATATTATTTCGCGTACTGAACTCTCGCTCAAGCGAAGAAAACCTTCGCTTGAGCGAGGAAACCTGTAACAAAGGGGTAATCTGGGGTAAATTCTCGCTCAAGCGAAGGTTTTCTCGCTTGAGCGAAAAGTATGATCCACTATTATCCAATTATAGTCGATCACTTTGACATATATGACTTTAGATAGCGGTTATTTGGTCAACCGCTATCTAAACTACTACATTAGATAGCGGTTATTTGCCCAACCACTATCTAAACTACTACTTTAGATAGCGGTTATTTGGCCAACCGCTATCTAAGGTGACTCAAGCGAACTGCGTTTGGCGTTTCATGATTCGGTCATTACTCGCTCAAGCGATAAAGTCACCGCTTGAGCGATGAAGCCTTCAAACAAGGGGGACTCTCGGGTTCTATTTCGCTCGAGCGAGGCGTACTTTCGCTCGAGCGATAAGTGATTGAAATATGTGGTGACGCAAGTTGCATTATGTGGCTAACTGCGTTGGACGTTTAGCTATGGTCAATTATCGCTCAAGCGAGAAACCATCGCTTGAGCGAGCAAACCTGCAGGGGACCCAGGTTGCATTATATGATGTTGCTGAAAGGGGAGTTTGTTCTGTTTATGAAATTATATTGTTTCTGTATTGTTTTACCTGGAGCTGACTGTAATTGATTCATTGAAGGTGAATATGGGGATGATAGCATGTAAAGAGAATTTAAAATTTCTTGACTGATGGTTGGTTGGTTACTCAGGGTTAAAGTGCTTGAGGTTGTGGGGCATGTCAAGCATCAATTCCGTGGAGTGGCTTAGAATGATCAAAGAAGTGTTTTTACGAGTATTTTAATCGATACAAATTACTTTTTATCGATTAAAACCCTTTAGAACCCATTATGACCGATCAGATTTGAAATATGAGCGATCAGAACTTATTTCAATCGATTAAAACACGTTTCAATCGATTAAAATCACTTCAAGGGTCAGAATGATCGATCAGAATGCAGTTATGACCCATCAGAGTTGGTTATGATCGATCAGAATTGAATTATGACCGATCAGATCTGTTTCAATCGATTATAACGTATTTCAATCGATTAAAATAACTTGGAAAAATTTTGTACAGAGTTTCAATCGATTAAAACGCGTTTCAACCGATTAAAACAACTTCGAAAAAGTTTGTACAAAGTTTTAATCGATTAAAACTTCTTTTTATCAGCTAAAATAACTTGGAAAGTTTTTATAAGAAAGTTTTGCGAGTATATCAATCGATTAAAACACGAAACAATCGATTGAATCAAACTTAGAAAAGTTTTGTAAAGTGTTTTAATTGATATAACCGTTGTAGTATCGCCTAAAACAAATCTGTTAAAGAATGAAGAACGTATTAATGGATTGAAAGGACTTTTAACAGATTGAAACGGCTATTTCAACAGATTAAAACAAACTTTCAACAGATTAATTAATGCAGCAGCTTATCAAAATACTCTTTAAAATCAGTTTGCTTGAACTTTTTAAACATACATTGAATAAGATCTTCGTTTTATCAAATGATTCAATAAGATCTTCATCATTTTCAATTAATTGAAAAACTCCTAAGTTTCATACATTGAGACATTTCTTAACTAACACAATCTAATGATGCGAAGTAGATGCACATGCAATATTGGGACATGTTCTTCTGCTATGACCAGGGGTATGACAATATGAACATTTTTTAATCCTACTTTGATGTTCTGTAATGTCCATCTCAGTTCTTATACGACTTGATTTTGGTCGGCCCTTTGAAGTTCTTTTCATTTCTGGATTTGCACACAAAGTAGGTCCTGTGCATGTTGGTCAATATTCTTCATTTCGCAATAACCCAAATTGTGTTCCGTATACCTTTGAAACTTGTTGTAAGGTATACACTGAATTAATATAGTTGTTGAAGTCATGGTGTGCATGCTTGCATGCAGCAAGAACATATGAACAAGGCATGTGAAATTCTGTGCAATGTGTCTAATGCAGTAGACATGCATTGAATTATTTTCTGTCCATCCGCTTCCATTTCTCATGTATGCATCAGAACCCGAGAGACATGGGAATCCTGACTTCGGTGGGTGACTCAGCATTGTAAATAGTTGCAGGTTTTCTCGCTCAAGCGATGGTTTCTCGCTCGAGCGAAACAAAACCCGAGAGTCCCCCTTGTTTGAAGGCTTCATCGCTCAAGCGATGACTTTGTCGCTTGAGCGAGTAATGACCAAATCATGAAACGCCAAACGCAGTTCGCTTGAGTCACCTTAGATAGCGGTTGGCCAAATAACCGCTATCTAAAGTAGTAGTTTAGATAGCGGTTGGGCAAATAATCGCTATCTAATGTAGTAGTTTAGATAGCGATTGGCCAAATAACTGCTATCTAAAGTCATATATGTCAAAGTGATCGACTATAATTGGATAACAGTGGATCATACTTTTCGCTCAAGCGAGAAAACCTTCGCTTGAACGAGAATTTACCCCAGATTACCCCTTTGTTACAGGTTTCCTCGCTCAAGCGAAGGTTTTCTTCGCTTGAGCGAGAGTTCAGTACGCAAAATAATATTATTTTAATACAGTGAACAGTTGCGAGAAATAATATTATTTTATTACGTGAACAGTAAACAGTGCTAGTTGTGTAAATAAAGTTGCACAGGTGCTATTTTGGTAAATATTTTTGAAAACATTATTATTTATAAAAAAAAGTCACAAGAATGGGAGAAATAATGAGAAGACAAGGAATAAATAAATAAATAAATGAATTGATATAGAAAATCAAAACAAAAAATGTAAAATTTTGCTGTAAAAGTTTATAAGTCAAACAAAAGTGCACTTTCATTATCGTTGCAGTTCACTACTAACTAGGGTTATGATGGGAAGTATACTGCGTCTATTATGCCATTCTTTGTTTATTGTCACTAGCAAACAAATCAGTCATCTCCAACCTCATTACATCCACACATGGGTTTACGAACTTCTAGGGAAAAAATTACTATAAAATTAAATAACACGCCCAGTGACTTCATTTTTTACAAACAGACAACACTCTCTCTCCCTCTCTTTTTCTCTGCGCGTGTTCCTTGTATCATTTGGCTAAAAAATATGATGAAAAATAGAAAATAGGAAGATACAGACAGTGTGATACATGCAAAAGAAAAAGAAAAAAAAAGAACACCATCGAGAGATTGATTGATTCGTATTTAGTGTTTACTACGGAGCCACCAACACAACCTAAAACTAAACCCCCTCCGATCCAGGTTCGATAAATGATTGGAAAGTCAAAGGAACCCACGTTGGTTGTCAGAGAAGAGTTTAATTTTAGCAATAAAGAATCTCTTCAAATTACTAAGCCTTTAACTCATGATTGTTATGGAAGGACTATTTTCAACCATCTGATTCTGAAACCTATTTTGATCTTCATCGTCTCCCTCGTTCTCATCCGTATTCTCTCTCTCACCATCTTCAGATGATGACTGACTCTGTATCTGTTGTTGCTGTGCTTGTCTCTCTTCTTGACTTTCACTCTCCATCATATGCATCAAGAGCTCCTCGGGCTTCAACTCTTTCCCAAGATCATTTCCATCCACCCTCTTAGGCTTCTTGCTGTACAGAACCTCCAGGTGGTGGTAATAAGGACACGTTTTGGAATCCTGAGGCTTCCTCTTGTTCTTCTCCTTCATCCTCTTGAAGTACTTGTTTATGTTCTCCCATTTCTCTTTACACCTCTTGGCACTGCGATCGTAGCCAAGGCCTTTCATGGCCGAAGATATGTCCTCCCAGAGAGGCCCCTTAGATACACCATTAATATTATTATTGTTCCCTTGGGACTGCACATCAAGTTCAGTCCTCAACCTTATCAGAGCCTCTACTTCATCCTTTGGCCACCGCGAAGTACTCATGTGTACGAAATTCCTAACACTGAGATTATTCCCACACTCTCGCTTATCCATACCAATGACACCACCACCGCCACCTCCATTAGCAGTAACATTAATATTCCCATTTTGTTGCATGTCCTTGTTGTGGTTGTCGTTTTGAACCTGAATTTTCTCCAGCAACTGCACCGCGCCTTCTGCTTGGGCGAACTTTTTCAGAAAAGCAAGGACGACTTCATCTTTAGCCGCGGCGATTGAGCGTTCCTGAGCCAGAAGCTCGCGTTCTTTCTTAATCAGCGCCAGCTCCTCCTTCTTCCACGCTTCCTCCCTCGCCATTCGATCCTTCTCGCACTTGTCCAACACCTCCATGAACTTCCTCTGCAGCGTCTCTTGCTTCTCTATCACTTCCCTCATCATCCCCTCCAGAAACTGCGTCAGCTTCCTCTTTCTAAACCCCTTCCCCGAACACGAAGTCGTCGAACTAGAATGCTCCCCCACGTACGCACTCACCGAACATGGAATCGCATCTAAAATAACATCAACGTTGATGTTGTTGTTGTCGAGCACGTGGGTGGTTGTTGTTGTATTTTCTGGGGCGCTTATAGACGGAGGGGGAAGTGAGTGGTGTCCTTCTAAAGCTTCCAATTGCTCGAAAAATCTATAAGTCTTGCTACCGTTGGATTTGCCACAACGACCGTCCTTGGTTCTCCTGTGGTATTTGTAAATGTTCTCGAATTTCTCCTTGCACTTCTTCGCACTCCTATTATATCCTAGCTCCGCTAATTTCCTGAATATACAAAAGCTTGTAATGAATCCAACACTACATTATTACAACACAAAAAGAAATTGTTCAACTCAACTCATGTCTAGCTAGACTCTACACTACATCGTACATTAATGTGTAACATTAGTATTACTAATTAAGGAATGAGCTTGAGAATAACGGAGACTGGAAGAGGAGGGAAAACAGAAAGAGGGACTTACCTTGAGACTTGTTCCCAGAGAGGGGCTTTGGGGTTTGTATCTCTGAAAGCAACGTCCATTTCGGACCTTATCTTGAGCAAAGCAATTGTCTCCGCTTTAGGCCACCGGATCCCGGCGGAACTCCGGTCACCGTCATCGCCATGCTCCGCTTTCAGCCCCTGGGAGACCACCGCGGCGCCTCCCTCCGGATTCCCGGGAGGGATTTCCGGTAAAGTTGAGATTTCCAGCATCGGTTTCACCGAAGTTACAGCTAAGAAACTCAGGAGGATGGGGGGCAAAAGAAGAAAAAAAAGAAAAAACAACCTTGGTGAAAGTTGTCGGGAGGGAAAAATAAAGAAAGTACTGTAATTTAGATAACTGGAGTTGTGTGTTGTGTGTTTGTTTTGATCTAGGGGATTGGAATTGTCTGTGCTATTTCAAATTTCAAGGGCTACTACTATACCATTGTTGTTATTTACAAGTTTAGAAAGGGTGAGTGAGTCAGTGAAAGAGAGAGAACATTTTGAGAGGTGAATAATAATAACAATATTTAAAAGGTTTAAACTTTAAAAGAAGGAGTGAAATGGGATGGGATAATGTGATGAGATAGATTGAATGGAGGTAGGGCTTTGAACATGGCGGCGTGCAATTGGTTGATGCGTCATTACAAAATTTCCCACTTGTGTAAGTTTGACCTTTCACACAGAGCGAGAGAGAGAGAGAGGCAAATTAAAATTTGACAGCTACGGTCAATATTTGTGGGCTTTTACGAGGGTAAAATGGGAAAATATGTTGGTGGGAAGAAAAGGACAGTTGGGGCCGAAGCAAAAGTGGGTTTCGTAAGGGAAGGCCCACAGAGCCCACATTCTTGTTCTGTACGTTTGTGCCTCCCCGCTGGCTTTGCCCCACGCTACACACAACACAACACAACACAATTACGTGTGCCGTAAACTTGCGAGTTGCGACCACCGCATTTTTCCGTGTCGGTGTAAAACAAAAATACTTTACCCTAATTTTTTTTTTTATTTTCTTCATTTTATTGCGCCAATTAGGGCACAATTGGGTGTCATATTCCTATCCAAATTCAAATTTGTTTTCAAAATTATTCCAGTGCATATGACTTCGCTCTTGATTACTATACAAAAGGGTGAGTTCGTTAGTTAACGAATATAAACGCAAGGAGGTTTGATTTTGAAAAATGCTGTCCATGTTACAGTGGAAAACGACAGCGTTCATTGATCTCAAAGAGTTGCGTAAACCGTTAAAACACTCCTCATGCGAGGAGGTTCAGTCTCGTCGTTTTCTTAAACTCTTTTTCCACTTTCATCTTTATCGCTTCTTTTTAGCATTCAATTCACACCAGACGCAGCAACTACAATGTACACTTATATTATCCATCACATAAAATAATATTATTAACTAAATTTTAATCATTAAAGTTTTTTATTTATTTATTTATTTATTTTACCTTTGGCCATCGTTATTGACTTTTTTCGAATACTTTGTTATTTCAGCATAATATTAGAATAACTAAAACAATAAATACATGTATAAATCAGGAAAAAATATATTAAAAGGAAAAACTGGCATATATAAATATAAAAAATAATTTACAACTTAAATATAATATATTTAATTTTATTCGAAATAAATTAATTTTTTAAATTCACTTTATTTAACTAGTATTATAAGTCGAACACCCACACCTCAGAATATATATATATATATATATATATATATATATATATATATATATATATATATATATATATATTTATTTATTTATTTATTTATTTGAAGCACTTTCAAGAAAGAACACATTTTTCAATTGACATTCACTTTGCATCTTTCATTTTTTTTTATCATATAGATAAGAGTGCAAATATGTCAAAGTTTTATAATTTAACTAATATAAGGTCTAACTTTTTTTTATTATTATTAAGAAGGCTATATTTATATATTTTTGAAGATTCTTTTATATAAAAAAGGTAAAGTTTCATATTTTCACAATAAAGGCTATAAATCTTGATAGGTTAGTATGTTGAAATGTGCTTTTTAAAAAATTAAGAACTCTGTATCAGAAACATTTTCCTCCATCATAAATCGACCTTTAAAGTTCTCTTCACAAATTAAACTTTAAGCAGGTATTTCTTATAAAACAAGATAAAAAATATGAGGCAGGACACATTAATTTTAACCTAAGTCTGAATCAGACGTAACAAAATTTAGTATGAATTTACTATTTTTTATATCATCACAACATAACACATGTCAAATAGACATATATTTCTCCCTTCAATAATATTTTATCCTACAATCATGATTGATGTCATTACATCACAAATATTTTATTTGGTTGAAATCTAAGCATGATGATTGAGTTGAAGGTTGTAAACTTTTTTTTTTTTTCTAATAATCCGAATATGGGAATTCCTATTCTTTCATAGGTCTAGTGTGGGATAATGCTAAAAGAACATTCAATTTTATTTTCATGGTCCTAATATATAGTGTTATGACAAAATTCTACGAAGATCGCGATGTTTATTCCACATTTAAATTATCTCTTAACTATAGAAAATCATATGACGGAAGAAAAAAAACACTAATTATAAGAACATATGACATTTACTTCGTATTTATTTTGTCAGATAAAGTATGAAACGAAATTTAACACAAAATTGGTTTTGATCATATAAAAATTTAGTCTAAACAAATAAAATTATTATTTAGTTAGACGAAACTATAATCTATTTCTCAAAACATAACTTTTGATTATTAAACATCAAAATAATAATTTCTTTTATACATTTCTTTTCAAAACATAAAAAATATATTATAAGTTTTATAATACCGTTGAGTTTATGCTTTATAATTTTTTTATTATTAAAACTTTTTAATTAATTTATACTTTTTTAACATTTATATATATATATATATATATATATATATATATATATATATAACATAAAAATATATGTAACATCCCATAATAATTACATTGAAATATAAAATAAAATTATGCAATATTATAAATATTCTAAGTATTTTAAAAAAATATTATGGATTTATATATTTATATATATATATATATATATATATATATATATATATATTAAAAAATTACTTAAAACATAAATTTTTTCTTACTCAATTTGATTTTGAAATTTATTACCTAACAAATCTCCTACTCAGGTGTAATAATCCACTCATAATAGTTGAAATCAAATACATTTAGGATAAATTAATGATATATTTTATATAAATTAGGATAAATTAATCATATATATATATATATATATATATATATATATATCACAAAATATTCTTAATATCCACGTCATAAATAAATAAATCAAATATAATGATATATAATTTCTAAAGTGTCTAATGTATTAATTTAAATGTTACATCTCATGTTATTATATATTAATACACATATGAGAAATACTTTTACTTCTAAAACTTTCACATGCATTGAATTGAACATATATTTGCACTTATCACACTATTTTTCTTGAGTGGATATCTTCAACATAGGTACATAATTAAAACATATTCATTCACGTGACAAGGCATTCCTTATGACTTGCTAGACACAATTATTTTTCATATCACAAGCTAAGTCATAAAAAAAAATTTCAACCCTCATCACTTACATCACTATGTAAGTCAAATATCAGTAGAGTTAAGATATCTTTTTCAAAATCTCAAATTCAATACATCACTTACATCTTAATATAGTATTTCCTCATTGAAAACATATGTGGTAATATATGATAGATATAACATACATTAGAGAATACCTATTTCTCACATTAAACAAAATATTTTTTTATACACATAATAACACTTAACATCTAGACATAAAATAAAGTTAAGACACATCTCTATTAAAGAACTTCCTCCATGGGTTCCATCTCCATTACTTCTTCTTCCATTTGTTTTACTTCCATGTTATTTAAAATAACGAGTTGCTAAATTATCTTTGTTAGGGTTAGATGTAACCTATATTTTTACTATTTTTATATTTAGTCTCCATTTCTCTTTTCTAGAGTTATTTTATTTTTGTGCTTATTAATTATTATGACTTGATAAACCAAAAATTAGTTGCATTTGTAAGAGATTGAAAAATCTTTACAAGTTATTGACCTAAGATAAGACAATCAATAAATTATTTGTCTAGGAAAAAAGAATAAATTATTAATTATCTCTATATCTTTGAACTTAATGCAAAATTATCCTATTGAGTTGACAAGAGATTATGGTTCAATAGAATATACTTAGGATCTGCTTTAAGGAATTAGAGTATAACTATTCATGATAAGGATTCATGCCAATCGAGAAAGGGGAAATTTTATTTGATGAGTTTAATAGACCAAGAGAGTGAGGTGGTAAAGTCTAATACCAATAACATTCATATGCCCATTTTTATCTAATCTACATTTCGTTGGTCCAAAAAATTCCTAAAATATTATGTTTGTCTAATTTTAATATTGCTCTCAAAATTTCAATTATCAAATCATATTTCTATTAAGTTAATAGCATAGCGTTAATGTAGTTCTTAGTATTACCCAAGTATGTCGATTTGATACTCTTACTTATTTTAAAACTAGTGGAAATAATGGTACGCTTATCAAAAAGTCAAAAGTGGACAAGGATATCATCTATAAAATCCATCACAAACTTGTCCAAGAATAAATTCATACATTTATAGTGGAATTATCAATGAAGGTGACATAATATTGTGATCCTTTTGATGATGAGACTGATATTGACCCACATCTGTATGAACAAGTTCCAACTTCTCTACCCTGGGCATCCTCCTTGACTTTGAAAAAATAACTCTTTTCTGCTTCCCAAACACACATGATTCATAGAAACCAACTTCTACCTTTTCCAGTTCTAGAATGTTCCCCTTTGAGACTAATATTTTCATATTCTTCTCTCATGTGACCAAGTTTATGATGCCACAAAGTCGAAGAATGACCAACATCATCACTAATTGAATTTGCTTCTTTTGTAGATAATTCTGCCATGTATAAGGTTCCTTTCTTCCAACCACGAACAACAATTAGATTATCATTCACCACCTTCCATTAGCCTTATCCGAATATGACTAGATATCTTGAACATCCAACATACTCATATAGATTAACATTCTCTTGAGTCCTGAAATATATCTAACATCCTTCAGAGTCCATATTATACCCATAGATGTTTTAAGATTTCCACTTCTGAAACTTTTCATCAA